GTTCATCCCCTTCAGACACAGGTCCTGGCCCTGCACACCACAGAGGACTTCCCAGTGCAGAGATGGCCCGACAGCTCAGGGCCCCACGGCAGGGGTGCCTGCAGGAGCTGCCAGCCCCAAGTCCCCCTTCTCCAGCACAGCTCTTCCCCAAGCCCCCTGGGGTCCCTCAGCAGCCAGAAGTGGACGAGCTGGCCTTGTCTCCTCTTCCACTCAGTCACCTCCTATCTGTGGCATCTTGTTCTGCTCGCTAACCTCACAGCACTCTGGGAAGCTGTGACAGGAGGATCTGGAAGTTAAAGCTCAGCCTGGGTAATTTAGCAACTCAGAGCAACTCTATCTCAAAATAAAAAAGGTGAATGAGCTGCCTTTCCACCAGTCCTCTACACCTTCAGATCCCCAAAGCCCAGGTCCTCTGCCTGATCATTTACCTATTTATTAAGCAACCATGTATAGGAAGCTTCTGGTTGCTGCAGTATTCTGGGACCCAAAGCCGTGAACCCCAGCGCTTCATACGGCACACATTCAGTCACCTCTGTCCTGGCAGCCCAGACTAGGCCCTGGGTCTCCGCCAAGGGTTTTCCTCTAGGGTTTGCTAATTAATTAGGAAATCTGAAACCGGTGTTAGCAAAACTGTTTTAATTCCCTGCCCATACTGGCAGCCTGGGAGGCAGAGGGTGATCCCCACCCTGCACCCTCTAATCGCTGCCTCCACCTCTTTAGGGCTCTGCTGGGTGCATCAAAGGGCCGCCAAGACTCCTGTAGCTCAGACCTCAGGGAGGGCAGCAGGCTGCAGGCCCATTTCTCAGCTGGGAAGACTGAGGTTAGATAGGACGCTTTGCTTGGAATAGGGATAAGAGCAAAGGGCAGCATGGCATTAAGCTGAGCCAGACCACCTCTGTCTCCTGTAACTCCCAGCTCCTTTCCCTTAGCCTGGGCCCCACTCTGTGGCCACTGACAACCCCACCAGACCAAGGGCCCCAAGGGAGACAGAAAAGATCCTCTTTCATCTCTGTGGCCTGAGTGCAGTCCTGGCACAAACCAGGGAACAACCATCGGGGCAGAGGACAGAACACAGCGGCAAACCACTTGGGTGCCTGGGGCATGGGGCCGTGCGGCCTGGTGCCTCAGTTTCCTGGGGGGCCAATGTTCCTCTCAAAACTTCTCCAGGGAGGTGCCCACGATAGCAGAGTGGGGAGAAAGTCTTGTTTAATCATGACCTCTGTGGCCTAGGGATGGACCCTGAGTCTAAACTGAGAATTGGTGGCTCTGGTAAGTTCTGCAACATCCCTGGGCTCCATGTTCAAATCTGTAAAATGGACTAATAAGCGTGGCTACCTGGGAAGGTGGTCAGAGGATAAAGAAACAGTCAAAACTCCTTTTTGAGAAAGGGTCTCACTCTGTATTCCAAAGTGGCCTTGAACTCGCTATGTACCGCAGGCAGCAATCTTCCTGCCTCAGTCTCCCGTGTGCTGGGATCACGCCCAGCTCAAAATCTCCTCAGAGAGTGGTGGGTGACACCCAGCAAGCCCAGTGACAGCGTCTGCTGGCGCCAGTCCTGACTCTTGGCCCAGCGTTGCTTCTGCCCTGGGCTGGTTGTCTGCTTCTTCGCTTGAGATGCTCATTTAGATCACTTGGTTACGGTGGTGCCTGCCAGCGTTCTTGGCTATAAAGTCACTTTTTCCTTCTTCCTTTTCTCTTTTAACCCTTCCTGCCCTTCCACACTTCATTCCTTTGGAAGGGTTCTGGGGTACACTTGATGAAGCAGAGAAGCAAGCCCCACTCCATGAATTATTTGGAATTCTGCAAAGAATCCTCCGTTATTTATTCAATCATTTATTTATATCAGTATGGCTGTGGGTGTATTTATTTTACTCTTGGGGTTATAATCTAATGTTCTGTTGGGTTTTTTCTCAACTTGTTTTTTTTATTTTTTTCAATTTGTTTTAGATTTGACCCCAAGTTGCTTGCACATTTTCTTTTTTCTTTTTTATTTATGTATTTGGTACAGGATCTCACTACACAGCTTGGACTCGTAGTGATCCTCTTTTTTCAGCCTCCCCAGCCCTGGGATTATAGGTGTGCACCACCATGCCTGGTTTCAGTGCCTGGCTCAGTGTGCCCACGGCAGGGCCAGCATGGCATGTGGTACTGGGGATCGAACCCCGGTCTGTACACTTTCCAGGCAGGCTCTCAGACTACTGAGCTATCTTCCTAGCCTGCTTGTTTTTTCTTTCTTTCTTTCTTTCGTTCTTTCTTTCTTTCTTTCCTTCTGTTTGTTTTGTTTTGTCTTTGAGACAGGATCTTTCTTTCTTTTTTTTTTTTTAATTATTTATTTATTTATTAGTGTGTATGTGTGTGTGTGTGTGGCCAGGGGGCGGACTGGCTGGCATGTGGTGCTGGGGGATTGAACCGTGGTCCCTGGGCTTTGCTAAGTTTGTTCTAAGTAGGTGCTTTAGACCACTGAGCCATCTCACCAGCCCCAAGAGACAGGATCTTTCTAAGTCACAAAACTGCCCAGGCTATACTCAATTTTTTTTTTTTTTTAATGTATTTAGTACAGGGTCTACAGGTTCTTACTACACAAATCAGACTTGTAGTGATCCTCCTGTTTTCAACCTCCCAAGCTCTGGGATTACAGGCATGTGCCACCACGCCCAGTCTCAATCGCCATCTCAGCTCTCCCTGGGGGGCAGGGCTGGCACGGCACACCAGGGATGGAACCGGGTCCTTGAGCCTGCCTAAGCAGGTGCTTTAGTCCGCTGAGCTATCTAGTCATCCTAGGCTCAAATTTGAGATCCTCCTGCCTCAGCTTCCCAGAGTGCTAGAATTATAGATGTGAGGCACCACGCCTGGTCAGGTCAGGTTGCTCTTTCAGGCTGGCTGCTTCAGCTGCTTGATGGGGCCCCATCTGCGTGCATGTTTCTTTGCAGTGCTGGGGTGGCTCCCAGGCCTCCCACAGGCGAGGGGAGCGTGCCACACTGAGCCCCAGCCCAGCCCCCACTTGTGTATATCTGAGTACTTCCTCACTCTCTGGCACGCATATGATGATCCCAGCTCCTCTTGTATTTTTCCTGTCTCCAACCCAGAATCAGTCATTTCTCCAAGGAGCCCCGTACCTCCTACTGCAGAATGTCAGTTGGGAGCCAAGGCCTGGGCCTGAGTGTGTTTATTGCGGTAAGGGTGCCATGGTAGCCAGGATCTCTGGCAGCTGAATTTGATTTAATTTAAAAATGAAGTTTCCTCTCCTGCCAATTGTGGGTCTAGTTAGTGAAGGCTGCTGCCCGCCTTCCTTTGAGACCAGCACCCATAGAATTTGTGCCTGTCAGAGCCCTCGGGATAGCTGATGTCCATCTAAGTTCAGAGGGAGATGGGCTGGCCAGACAGCTCAGCGGATTAAAGTGCCTGCTTAGGCAGACGCAGGGACGGGGTTCGATGCCCGGCGTGCCATGTCAGCCTGCCCCTGGGGTGTGTTGAGATGGCGACTGAGACTGGACATGGTAGCACATGCCTGTAATCTCAGAGCTTAGGAGGCAGAAAACAGGAGGATCACTAAGAGTCTGATCTGTGTAGACCTTGTACTAAATATGTAAAAAAACAAAACTAAACTAAAACACTTACAGGGAGAGAACACATAGGAGCCCACATCCCGCCAGGCCACTTTCAGGCCATGCTGGCCACCAGCAGGGCACTGGGCAGCTCTGAGAACAGGACCCGAGGTGCTGGCATGGCAGCTCCATGCTCTGTCTGTGCCTCTGTGTCGGGTCCCACAGCTCTGTCAGCGGTGGTGACCAAAGCCCTTTCTCAAGCCACAGAGCAACATGCCACCTGAGCTGGGCAGGCCAGGGCCAGGCACCAGGAGGGCCTGGCTGAGCCGCGGCACCCAGTACAGCAGGTGGCACTAATGGCTAGGCCAGCTGCTCCCCGAGCACCCTGCTCTCACCACCCAGCTGCACCCGATGAGTTCTTGCCCAGGCTGGGGGCGGCTGCTGCTCGACACCCCAGGGCAGCCGAGCACTCTCCCTGTTGGCCAGCTCTGCCTCCCCACAACTCCAGGCGGTGTCGAGGAGCTGAGTCCTGTGGTACTCTGGCACAACCAAGCAGTTTTTTTTGTGTGTGTATTTGGTACAGGGTCTCACTGCACAGCTCAGACTTGTAGTGATCCTCCTGTTTTCAGCCTCCCCAGTGCTGGGATTACAGGCGTGCGCCACCACACCAGGACTCAGTAGCCAGCTCAGTGTGGCCAGGGGCATGGCTGGTGTGGCATGGGGTGCCTGGGATCAAACCCTGGTCCCTAGTTGCCTAAGCAGGCGCTTAGTCCACTGAGCTATCTCTCTGGCCCTGACCAAGCAGCTTTACACCCCCACCCGCTATACCTGCACCGTTCCATGCCACTGCTTAACTCTTTCTAATCCCTGAGGCTTCAGCCAAGGGATTACCTGCTCCTCCTATTCTGCTGTGTGATTTTGGACAAGTCGCTGTGCATCTCTGAACTCTACCTCCCTAAAACTGAGCAAAGCACCCGAGTGAGATTGCCGGTCATGCTTTCCGATTCTGGCCTCTGCCCCTAACTTGCTATGAGCGCTAGTCCCAGGACCCAGCCTCTGTTTTCCTTTTCTGTGAAATGGGGCCATCCATGAAACTCATAACAGTACTGAGGCTCCAACAAGCCAAAACCTGTGAGAAGCTTATTGTAAACCTCAAAGCCCTGCGTGGATGATGGAAGAATCTATTTCAACAGCTACAGAGTGGTGTGGGAGGGCCGAGGACAGCTGCTCTCACCAGCGGCCTGCCTGTGAAGCACATCAGGCCTGCTGGCCTGGAGGCTGCACGCTCAGTGGAGGCCGGGCCCCTGCCCTCTCCACCCACCCCCTGCTCCCGGGTGACATGGCCCCTCTAGAACTGTCTAAAAGCTCAGGATCCGGAGAGCCCTGCACCCCTATACCCCACCCAGGAGGCCTCTCAGAACCCCCTCCACTCCCCAAACCAAAAGTCAAGATCAATTTGAACCATCTGCAACTTTTATTCCAGAGCAGAAATAAGTCATTTTCTAACAATAAATATAAAAAAATAATAATAAATTAAGGTTCAAAAACAAAACAAAACAAAAAACCCCAACAAAATCATATAACACTGACAGGAATTATCTAAAGAGGTGGGAGAGGGGTGGAATGTCTGCCCCCAGCCCTGGTGGGACCCCTTCTGCACACACTCTCTGCACAAAATACAAAATATATAGTTAAAAAAAACCTCAACACAATCAAGCACCCTGAGAGGGCCCCAGGAAAGCAAAAGATTGACCCGTAGGGGCTGAGGACAGGGCCTGGGGGTCTGGGAAAAGGCACTACAGGGACGGAGGTCCATTTTGAGTCTTGCCCAGCTGAGTTCAACATCTGCCTTCTTGTCGTGAGGGGGGAAGCCTGAGGTACCCTATTCATGGGGTCCTGGGCCAACCCCCCATCTTCCAAGATGGTGTTATGTGAGAGGATGAAGGGGAGGTGGGTTTAGGAATGGCCCCTTTGAGGTCTACAGCCTTGGCAGGGCTCTTGCCCCAGAGGACGCTGGGAACAAGATGGTGCCGGCTAAGTACTCAGCAGGGAAGAGGTCTGGGCCCAGCCTCCCAAAGCATCGGTCAGTTCAGGCCAGAGTCGCCAAAGGTTCCCAGCAGAGGCCCCAGGGAGGGTCCATAAGGAACAGCTAGAAATAAATAAGTCCTTGGAGGCCCGGCACGCAGTTGGCAGGAAGGCCGCTTTGTGTCTTCAAGTATCTTTGTTCAGGGGGACGCAAGACCCCATCGGAGCTCAGATGGGGATCCCCACGGTGTTCACCTGGTCCTTGAGGCCCAGCAGACTGTAGGCGATGCGCTTCTGGTGGCCGGGCAGCCGCACCCCGATCCTCTTGATGTCGCTGCAGGGTGGAAGAGAGAGAGGGAGAGTTAGGGGTGGGCTGCACAGGGTGAGGGGGCAGCAGTGGGAGGGAGGGGACCTTGGGGACCAGAGGGGAGAGAGCTGCAGCTAGGAAGGCCGAAGGAGCCGCGTCCCAGTAGCCTGCTCTGACGGCTGGCCCCCGAGGAAGTTAGAAAAATGGTAGGTGTACCCACGGAGTTTTTCTTCCCTCAATCAAATCTTAGAAATTAACTATGAAGTAGATAATTATTTCACCCTCACACTGCAGATGAGTGAACTGAAGTCCAGAGAGGCGGGGTGACTTACCCAAGGCCACACAGACAGGAGGGACCAGAGCTAGGAACCAAGTCAGCTGCAAAGAGCTGCTGCCCCTTCCTCTGGCTGGGGAACCTTCTCTCCAGGTAGCACAAGACCATCTGCCCCTAACTTTTGGACTATTTTCAGGGACCCTCTGGAGGTGCTGCAGGAAGTCCCTCTGCCTGAGGCTATTTCCTACCCTGTGTCATTTCAGCTTCTCTCTCTCCAAGTCCCCATCAAAGGAGGTCAGGAAGTCCTGTTGGTGTTTTTCGGACCAGAAATCAAACTCAAGACATTGTACTTGCCAGGCAAGCGCTAGGGACTTTGCCGATCTGACTGAGTGACAAGATGATAAAGGTGAAACCAACAGAATAAGCTGCGAAGGGGCCAGGGAGATGGTTCAGTAGAATAAGCGCTTCCCTGGAAAGCGTAAGGGTCTGAGTTCAATCCCTGGTTCTGCAAAAAAAAAAAAAAAAAAAAGCAGGGAAGAGAAAGTGGAAGTGTTACGGCCTCTGGTCACCACACTGTGTCATGCCTCTTGAGCCATATCCCCTGTCCTAGGCAGTCCTTCCTGACTGGACCATCTGGGGCTAGAGCCCTGCTATTATCTAGTGGGTGAGGCATGTGGGTCAGACAACCGTGTTCCTTATAGGGACCTCAACTTCTCCATCTGTTAAAGGGGACAACCACCTCCCCCACCACCAAGAGACAAAATTTTCCTTCCTGGCGCCTCTTAAACCTCAGGCCAAACCACAACATCCTTCCCTGTTCCTGTGCCCCAATAAAAATGTGCTATCTTTTTCATTTGGAGAAACCAGGATTCATGACACAGTGTGGTGGCCAGGGACAATAACACTCCCATATTCTGTTGGTTTCACATTCTCCAGTGATGGCTAGAGGTGAGGTTAAGTCATCTTGTCCCCACTGGGGGTGTCTTGCCTCAGTCAGATCAGCAAGCCCCTAGTGCTGGGCCGGACTTCTGGCCACCGAGTCAAGGGCCAAACAAAAATTGCTGCATGCATGTAGTCCCACTCTCCCCAAGCCAGGGATGTCCTAGCTGGGTGCCTTCTGGCCACTCTGTCCACCCTAGGGCTAAAGGGACACATTAAGTTCCCCAAATTAATCTTCTATAACACAGCCTGGTTCCAACACAAATTAGATGGGGAGGGCGTTGGCCAGAAAATAGGTTATTTATTAACCCAAGTCCCCGTCCTCCTAACTCAGTACCCCCTTACAGGCCCTGACTCTTACCAGCCCCCACTTTGAAGGCTCCATGCTGCCTGACCCACACCAGCCTCCTACTGCCGCCCCCATCCCCATTACTGCCTTGAGAGGTAGCCAGACCCAAGGGAACCCACCTGGGCTTCCATCACCCTGTCAGACGTTTCTTGACTTGAAAAACACCTCGGCTCCCCCCCTCCCCACCCAGAAATCCTTCCTCATACCTTAAGGAATTCCAGTATCTCACTCAGTCCTTTAATCTCAACTAGCAGGACACTCACACTATTCTCTGTCAACCTCTCTCCCTGAGGAAAGGGACACGGTGGCAGGCGGCAGCCAGCACAGCAGATGAGAAACATGCCAAAGATACCACTAAGGACCCTGGGGCAAGGGCAGCTCCCTGACAAGATCTACACCGGCTTCATGGCCTGACCATGGGCACTGCGCACTGAGTCCGGACTGTGTAGGTTACATTAAAATGGGCCAAAAAACAAAATAATAATAAAATAAAATAAAATGGGCCTTGACCAGGCAACTCTCAACTTGGTTAACCTGACAAGATCAGAGAAGTCCACTGGAGACCTGTAAACGTCCAGCCTAATTCATGGCCAGCTCAAAGAGGCTTCAGAGTCTCCAGCCCACTGGATCCTCAGTCTGACAGGGCCAGCTTTGTCTTTTTTTTTTTTTAAATTTTATTTATTTATTTGTGGAGGGGGGGGCAGCTCAGCCCACCAGGGGGCGGGGCTGGCTGG